TTATGAGAGAGGCTGGGAGATCTCTGAAGATTAACGGGGGCGAGTCAAACGTCCCGGTTTGAAAGAACAAGGCGACGACTGAACCGGTCAAAGTGGAAGCGTTCTCGGCTTTCGGTTGTTTTTTTTTTTTTTTCCTTTTAAATTACGGCATCAAGGAGACACTTGTAAGAGAATGATGATGAAAGACTGTTGTTAATATAAAAAGGCAGCAAAACAGGAGAGACAAAAGTACCCCAGTTAATCGAGGCCATGTCTGATTTTCATCTCATCATTTCCTCGAGGTTCTCAGACGATCCTGAAATGGCTTTTGAGGTGCTCCAAAAAATACAGAGCTAATTTGACGCAGAGGTAATTAGTCGTAGCAAAACACGAGAACAAGAAGCAAGAAAGGACCTTTGCTGAAGCGGAACATCAGAAGTGCAGTCAGTAACATTTAAGTTTAAATCAAAGTAGATAACACTGAACCAGGAACAACAGCTGCTAGCAAAGATCAGGGAAACAACATGAAGCCCTGCTTAACCATGCTCCATGTGTAAAACATGAGACCAGAGGGAAATGCTAACTGTTATGAAAAATGAGACAGTGCAGATGCTTTTAGAAACATAAAACACAAAATGGAGAGAAAAATCCAAAAAAGGCCTCCACCTTTTTTGGATTTAGGGTTAGGGTTATCCTTTTTTTCCACCCCATCCTCTCCCAGTTACTGAGGATGGTATGACTCTCTTGTCTTAAGACCGTCTGCTTGGTCTTTTGTGGCATAATGTTGACAAGGGTGTGACTGTTTTAGTCCACAAAGTCATGGTAATGTTCTTGTACTCTGTTTCACATCATCATCTTTGTACGCTGTTCCAACAATTAGGGAATCATCCAAAATTTTCTGAAAGTAGAGGCTCTAAGAGTGGCATTGGAAACCAGATGTGGATCTGTACCTTGTGGGGCTCCTGTGCCGTTGAGGATCTTCTTAGAGACAAAGTTCTGCAGACGGACGTACTGTGGTTTGTCGAACGTACATTATCATCCTCGCAGTGTTCCACAGGATCGATCTGAATCTCTCTCCGCTTCTCCATCAGGGGTTTCTCCCACTGAGCCAAAGCTTTTCAGCAGATTTTCTTCTGGGCCAGTGAGCAAACAGAACAAGTCACAATCTTTGAGTTGTAGTCTGTCTGTCGTTTTAGCAACGGCAATGGATGGAGTGAACAAAGCCGTTTAGTCCGTGTTGGTCACGACTCTAAATACTGAATTAATGTGAACAGACTAAGCAGCTTGGCACTTTTCAGGATGGTCGTTTACAGTGCTGGGAATTTTCAGGAAGCTTCTTAGCATCAAACTGGCGCTTTACACACGACACAGACAAATGTCAGCAATTGGGGAACTTCGTCACAGCGCATGCCTCCAGGAGTCAATCATTGATCAATAGCTTTGGTCCAGGCTCTCTGTATGAAGCGAAGCGAAGAGCAAGAGACAGTTTTTTACCCGGCTATGTGTGTGTTTGTGTGTGTATGTATGTGCACTCTTTGGAGAAAGTAAATCAGGGTATCGTCCATAGACCAATGTGCTGGTAGGCAAACTGTGCGATCCATGTACGCACTCAGCATAGTTCAGATGTGAGTAAAGATCAGTCTTTCTGGGTTCTTTTTGAAGAAGTCCTCAAGAAGTCACATTTCCACTCGGAGAAGAGTGAACACCAGGAAGCAGTGGTGGCTGAAGGCTCTGACTGTAGGACAACACGGTCTCTGTTGAGCAGAGAAAAAACAGATATCTGTCAGGGAACCATGGTTCAGGCCAATGGATGAGGAAACACGGCCCAGGTGTGTCAACCAGGGTGCTCTCAGGAACATCCTCTTAGGTGGATCAGAAGCTAAAGAGGCTAAAAAACACAGCAAATCCTAAAATCATGACATTTAAAGAGATTTTCTCTAAGCTGTTTTGTCCCTTTTTGTATTATTGGGTTTCTGGTTAACTATCTTGTGGTGTGTTTTTGCCATCTCAAAGTGACAAAGCTAAAGTGGATACTTTGTCTCCTCGGCTCAAACGCTGTCTCAGATGTTTTAGTGTTTTAAGCTCGTTGCCTTGGGCAGCTTGAACAGGAGCCAGAGGACCGACTCTCTTCTCGCTGTCTCTGATCTCCGGCATGACATTGCGACAACCTTAGAGTCACATGCTGGGAGCAGGAAAGGTAGAACACACGTGTGAATGGAAATCTGTGAGAAGATTTCAATTTGAAGTATATTGACGAATATGACATCGAAATGAAACAAAGGATTCAAAGCCTGGAATCAGAAGATTGGGGGGGGTAAAAATTTCCAAATCATGTTGAGAAAGTTCCAGTTTTGTGCTTTAACTGGGCTCACAGAGATGCCTTAATGCTCCTGGATCCAACTTGATCTTAGGAAAGTTGAGCCATTTTAAAATAACCCCCTACGCCATGTTTTTTGGGCCAACAGTTATTTTTTGCAAAAAATAAAATAAAAATATTTTCCATCATCTTTTATATCCAAGAGATAATTTAGGTAAAGAAAATAAAATAAAAAACAAACAAAAAAAAAGGTAATTTTGGCAAAAAATTATTTTATTAAAGAAGGTGACAATATTTAATTTAAATAACAGAAATTGACTAATTTCCACGAGTTTTAAGTACAAAATGATTTTTCAATGATTTTTTTAAAATGCTGGGGTGAAATGTGTTGGCTTAAAACAGACGTAAGAATTGACTGTTTTGGAAATTTTAGGTTCAGCTGAAAAATGCCGTTTCTGTGCAAAAGCGGGACATAAACAGTTGTAAACTTTTCCGCTTCAGACAGCGGGGGATTTATGACATAATTTAAAATCTGCACAGAACTCCCTGGCTTTGATTAAAAAAAATTAAGAAATCCTCCAGCGTGTCAAGAGTCCATCACACGCGGTCCAGGTCCTGGGAGCTAAATTCTGCTCCTACGTCAGTCGTTAGCCGACCATCATTACACGATCCAGTCATTTTTATTGAAGGAGTGAAAGCAGGGACACAGGTGCCTAACCTCATCGTGACACGCTGTCCCGGCCAAATCCTGGCAGCGACAAACCCACTCAGTGCACACATTACAGGGCTGAGTTGTGACGTTTTCATCCAGTCTCTTTTAAGATGAGCAAATTTGGAAAGATATGTTGTGGTTTTCCTGGACACTGTATCGTCTTAAAATGTGTCCGTACTCATCAAACTGTTTTTCAGAAAAGTTGGCAATACAGTCATTTTTCCCTGCAAGGTCAGTGCTCGTATGTCACAGGTGTGTTGCCAGGTGTTAAAACACTTTGTACAACTTTGTACAGTTTGTGCTGGAGGTTTATTCCCCCAAAAGTTATCGGGCGCTTTCTGGAACTTATCGGAGTTTCCAGGAACTTTAAAATCACGTCTTGCGGGTCCTTCAATGGAACCCTGTTAAATGTAGAAAATGTCACTAGAAGTAAAGCTGTCTGCAAAAATAAATGATTTTTGCAGCACCGTTTATGTCGTACGAAGCCTGAAACTTTCATGAACGTCCCAAGAAAGTAATCTCTACGTTCCAGGAAAGTGAGTTGAGCAAAAGTACAAGGGTTACGTGTATTTATTCTCATCCAAATATCCAAAATGATGAAATATACATTATGTTTCAAGACTTTTCCTTACAGAATCAATGGCTGGCCGACCTTTCCTGTACCATGACATCCGTGATCGATTATGGATGTAGCTACCATCAAAACAGCAAGTTATCATTTGCAGAATTTAAACTTTGACTCAAGACTTGTGGTTTTTGCGATATTTTTACTTTTTTTTTTTTTTGTAAGAGACTGATGGAGGTTATTGCATTCGGAAAAGAAGAAACGAAGGAAGCTGCTGAGATGTTATTGTGTCCCAGGGCAAAAAAAAAAAAAAAGACTGTATTGACTTTCATAACAGTGCTTCAGGTCAATACAAATAAAAAAACAGAAAGAGTCACAGACATTTTTCAGACCAGCATCGAGTGACTGTATATGTCTGTGTATATAGGTCTGTGCATCTGCAGCAGCTCCAGGCCCGGCAGTGGATTTCTCCCACATAATTCCACCAATTCTAGCCTAGTTTCAATCCATAAAACAAATCAATAAAAGCATAGAAATCTTGTTTTCTTAATATTTTACTTGCAACAAACATTTGTTCAATAAATAAATAAGCAAGCAAATAAATAAATAGCAGAAGGTTTTCCAGATAAATGCAACTCTGTCGACAGAAGATCACATCTGGGGATCATCCACAGTAATCCCTCCCGGAGGCCGTGATCCCCCCCAGGATCACGGCCGTCAGCGCACCGTCAACAGCCCGACAGATTGAAAAGGTCAAAGAGTGACAGAACGAAAACAAGAGAAAGAAGAAGTCACGCTCCTCCTTGTCGAGTTCAAAAACTGCAAAGACAAACAAACCTGAGGTGACGGTGAGGGTGAAAAGACGGTTGACACAGGAAGTGAGCGTCACGCTAAACGTGTGCTTTGACCTACTGTTGGTGTCGCGATAAAACGATCTGACTAAACAATTTCATTGTGACGGTGCAGCAGTGAACGTTTTGTTTCACAAGATCGAGCTCCTCGAATGCATCACTCTGGTCAAAAACAACCAATCAGAGGCAGGAGGCGGGTCTTAGCGCTGCCAGTCAACCTTGTGTATTTGCTCCTAAATGGGTTCATGGTGGAGAAACAACTTAACTTTACAGGAAACCTGTGTATCCACCGTCACAGACGGCTGCGCTGACAACTTTGACAAGAGGGATGAAGATCACAAATGTAAAATGCCTTTCAAAAGTTGGAAAGGCTTTTGTCAAGGTTGAAACCGTGACACCCTGAACCCCTGATGCCACTGAAACCAAAAGTCCGTCAGTATTTCAGGCCAACTCTTCCATGAACACACACCAACTAACTGATGAACATCCCTCCTGCCTCCATGGTCCTCCGCCCCCTCTTCTGCATAAGAAAAGGAGGGCAGGGATCAAGTCAGCCTCATGAGACTCTGAGACTCAGCGGCCAGAAGCAGAGAGGAGCGACTTGAGGAGCCGCTGGAGCTCGTGAGGTTGACGCGGCTCGGAAGGGAGGGCGGCTTCTGTTGGAGATGAACGGAGTGTCGCTGCAGCTGGAACCCTTTGATTCGGGAATCTTTCTCCGTCCTGAGACTGGGAGCCGGGAAAGTCTGATTTGAGACGGGGAAAGCTTTCGGAGAGCTCCTGCCTCAGTCTGAGGTTAGGTAAGTGCAGGCTGGAACAGCAGTGACTGGAAAAACATTAGGGACTTGCCTTAGAAAGAAAAGTGTCTGCATTTTGACCTTATCTCGTTTTGTCAAAATCGGCTTCTGTTTTCTCTCCTTTTTAAACCATGAAGATTCTCTCTGGGCAATTTGCTCTGTCAAGATCAGAGTGAACTTTTCAACAAAGCAGAATTAGGAGCTAAAAACTCTTCTCTCTCTGAAATAAGCTTTTGTGCAACAAGGGAAACCTATAAATATACACAGTATATTATTTAAAGATTTTGAAAAACATTTTTGTTCTACAAATATTTTTGCCCAAAGGTTTCATCTGAACTGAGTTAGTGGTCTCCTGTCGTCATCGTTGTTTCATAAGATCGAAAATAATAAAATAAAATAAATAAATGAAATAGAAGTAGAAATAAAATGACACAATGAGTTGCTCTTAATAAAGCATAACTGTGTTTTTCTTATTCCATCAGTCGCTCTCAGTCGTCGGTACAAGTTTTTCCAATTCAGTCTCTTTTTTCCCTTCACTTTTTAAAAAAAAAGTTTCATGTGAAAAACAATTTAGATTGTGATAAAAGTCGTTTCTAATTAATCAGTGGAAAAAATGTTTTATGGCACTGTTTGTCTGTGGTCATGTGCCGCCTCTTTGAGGTCGGAAGGCCTCCCTGCCATCACCCTCATCTGTGAAATCCCCTCATCGATTCTCTCTTATCTTGGCAAAATGAATAGAGCAGGAATAGAACTAAATTTGCCAGAGGAACGAATAACCCTGAGCAAACCTGTAACGCATTGACTTTTGGCAACAAATATTCATACAAACAAGTTTCACATTGAGTGTCAGTCATGTAATCCTCGTGATATATCAGTGTTCCAGACATTCATTTATTTTCTTATTCGTGCTGCTCAGAGCCCAAACTGCTTTGGGCGTCTACAAAGAGACTGAAAAGCTGAAAGAGTCCAAATAAATCAACAAACTCTTTTGTTATTCCTCGGTTGGTTTGGCTTAGCTCGTTTCACAATCCTAGAGAAATTCCAGCCTTGCCTCAAAATATTCCACCTCTCCCTGACATTTTACCAAACGCAGATTGGGATTCCTTCTCTGACATGCAAACGATTCCCTTGCCTTCCAGAACTTCCTGGCAAATCGCCACGCAACACTTTCTGCTCCTACTTTGTGTTTCCAGGGGCACAGAGGAGGACATTAAGTGGGAGTGTTTCCCGGATCAAAAGAAAGCCTCTCCTGAAACGCCAAAAATGACAGCTCGCCTCTGCTTCCTCTTACTGGCCGCTCACGCGATGGTTGCGAGCGCGCAGCCGGAGCCAAAGAACCAAATCCCCCAGCTGTCCGTCACTCAGAGGCTCGGCCTGGTCCAGAGGAAGGCGCAGGACCCGGCCCGGCCCAACATCACCATGCCGCGCCGCCGCCTGCCGCCCATGTGCACGGGGCCCACGGAAATCCGGGACACTTTCAAGTACATCAACACGGTGGTATCCTGCCTGGTGTTTGTGGTCGGCATCATCGGCAACTCGACTCTCCTGAGGATCATCTACAAGAACAAGTGCATGCGGAACGGGCCGAACATCCTCATCGGCAGCCTGGCGCTCGGAGACCTGCTGCACATCATCATCGGCATCCCCATCAACGTCTACAAGGTCAGACCGAGCAGGTTCAATGTCCGTTGTGTTTCCATTATAAATGTGCGCCAAGGCTTTTCCACAAGGCGTTTCCCCCAGTAGTAAGAGCTGGTTGCTGATCACATGACTTCTGTGATTCAAAAAAAGGGTTTCTGTTGCAGTTTTGTGAAATATACTTATTTTGATATAGCCACAAAAAAAAAAACACCTCATCCTTGAGCAAAATCTTTTTATCCCATCAAATTTATTTTTGTAATTTCAATTTGTGCAATCATATGGTCAAAAAACCACATGCTACAGATAGATTAGCTTCCCTCTGGACTCTAAACCCTTCAGCCACATCAGTTCCTCCTTATGTCCACATAATGAAGCACACAGCAGTGAAAGTGGAGACGTAGAAAGGTGTGTGTGTGTGGGTGTAGGTGTGTGTGTGTGTGTGTGCTCCCCAGTGCTTCTGAAATGTTATTATTCCTCTGGACTCTGAGCCTCTTCATATCCCCCCATGTCTCTCGGCATGTTATTGTGCGTCAGGCTCACTTTGCGAGAGCGAGGGCCAGAGAGGGCCGGAGTGTCTGTATATTTGGGTAAGCGGGCAGGAGTGTTAAAACAACTGGTGGTCGCAGTTACATACCGGAGCGCAGACGAGGACCAGACGGCGTGGCACGGAGAGAGAGAGGGAGAGACGGATGCGGGGGTCACATATGATTTCAATTGATTTCCACTCGCATTCCTGTCCCCAATCCAAGAAAAGCTCTAAAGGCTTTGTGTTGTACATGATCCTCTGGGTGATTTTTGAACTCCAGGAGCTCAAACTTCTCATTCGGTTGGAAAGCTGACGAGTCAAAAGTGAGGTGTGTGAGGCCTCACTGTGTGTTTCTTTCTTTCTTTCGTTTTTTTTTTTTAAAGACAAGGCTGTGATGTTTAACCTGACAAAAACCGTGAGTTCAGGTTCGTGCGCTGGCGGGGAGCGCTGTCCTGGAGACGACAGGCTCTTTGCGTCACTCCTTGCCTGTAACTCGCTGACCTTCTGCCCGTGTTGCAATCTGTCTGCAGCTCCTGGCAGAGGACTGGCCGTTCGGGGTGACTCTGTGCAAGGTTGTGCCGTTTGTCCAGAAGGCATCCGTGGGGATCACCGTGTTGAGCCTGTGCGCTTTGAGCATTGACAGGTATGCTTGTTCACAACCCACGCGTCACGCAAACACCCGCTTCCCCCTCCTGTCATGTTGGCTTCTCTTTCTCTCTGTCTCTTTATGCCTTTTATTTAAGCAGTTGGAAACTTCACATTGTAAAATACAGAGCTGGGGATTGTTGGACGTTTTCATATTTTGACACACATTTGGATATTTCTTTGATTGAGACAACAAAAAGCACAAAGAGGTACTAATCCATCTGCAGGTGCACACACCTGCAGACCTACTGAGACACGGCCGTCTGCCTACACCTGCAGGTCATGCAAGGAGAGAACCCAAACATGTAGGGGAGTTTCAGAGACTCGAAGCAAATATGTCCATTATGAATGAGTGGCAGAAAAGACTCAAATTGAATGTCTAGCGGCAAACTAACACACGACCCCCACAGTGAAACCTGGTGGTGGCAGCGTTGTGTTGCACCCTTAAAAAGAACAAAAATAAACTTCAGAGTTTTGCTTTTGTGAAACTGTATTAAAACAAAATCCACGGTGCAGCATACAGCATGTAGTTTTCTCTTTTTTTTACCTATAATCAACAAGGTCATGAACTTTCAATTCCCATCATGCACTATGTTATTCTTAAAGGGGTATTATATTGATGGAAATCTATGAAATAATAATAAATCAAATAAATGCTATTCTTAACATATTTTCAGGGCTCAACACCTGCGTTGTAGGGATGTTTGAGTCATTTTGTAATTAGAGATTAATATTTGTGTTGGCCCTGATATTGAAAAATGTTCTATCGGGTATTGGTAGCAATGTGCCCGATCCATAATATTCTATAATGCTATATTTTGTGCTCTGAGTGACATCATGCTTTATTTAAAAAAAAATTAAAAGTCTTGAGTCAGTTCAGCTGTTTTTCTGTATCGGCCTGATACTAAGCCTCAAATATCTGTATTGGTATCGGAAGTGAAAAAGATGGATCGGTCCATTCCTGGTTGTGACCGTATGACAAAAAGTGGGGAAAAGTTAAAGGTTGAAGGAGTGCAAATGCTTTCACAAGGCGTTGCATTGGAAGCCAACTGCATGCCGTATCCAAACCAAACACTAAATCACACTGTGTCCCCCCCCCCAAAAGGATCCAACCATTTATTTGCCTAAATCTGATCACATGCCGCTCCGGTTTTCCAGGTATCGTGCCGTGGTCTCCTGGAGCCGCATCAAAGGCATCGGCGTTCCGAAGTGGATGGCCATCGAGATCGCCCTCATCTGGATCTTATCCGTCATCCTGGCCGTTCCAGAGGCAATAGCCTTCGACATGATCACCATGGACTACAAAGGGGAGCAGCTGAGGATCTGTCTGCTGCACCCCATGCAGAAGACGGACTTCATGAGGGTGAGTGGAGACACGCCGACCCTCTTCTTCTTCTTCCTGTCTGAACAGAGAAACGGTCCCTGTTGACTCAGCTGCGGACGCAGCAAAAAAGGCCAATGTGCAAAGGTGCAAACCGGCACGCTGAGTGCAAATACAAAAGCTTTCTTAATAAAGCGGCTCACTTAGAGTCACGGCGTGACGCCTGGACGAGGGAGGCTGGAAAGAGTTCACAGATGACGAAATGATATAGATCACAGATGGGAGATTGGCTGTTTTTACTTTGGAAGACATTCCCCTTACTAAAGAGTAACAACGTGACCTCCGCGTATCGCCGCTGATAAATCAGCATTTGGTAAAAGGATGTCCTGCATGACGCCAAACCCACCCCTGAGTTTCCCCCTCCACTCCGGCGAAGGTTCAGGCGGCGGCTACGCTCCAGTAAATCAGCTTCTTACATGCTTTATCTCCAGCTTAGAGCGCTCCCACACAGATGTTTGAACGTAATCCAATGCCGTCCCTTTGTGCGTTTTTTTTGTGTGTGTGTGTGCAGTTTTATAAATCAGCGAAGGACTGGTGGTTGTTCAGCGCGTATTTCTGCTTGCCGTTGGCCTGCACGGCTATCTTCTACACCCTGATGACCTGCGAGATGCTGAGGAAGAAGAACGGGGTGCAGATCGCTCTTAGCGACCACATCAGACAGGTCGGAGAACACGGGCTGAAAATGAACAGCAACACTTTGGTCAACTTAGCCTTTCATAAAGAGACAAAATTGTGGGTGTCATATTTTCACTATGTTATTCATGCATTTATAAATATATCACTCAAGCTAAATATTTAGTTTACAAACTATATATTTTGCTCTCAAATTAAATATTTAGTCAGGAAGACAATTGTTTATTTTTGCAAATAAATATTTAGTTCCTAACAAATTGTTTCAGTCAGAACTAAATACTTAGTTTTCAAACTAAAGGTTTGGTTTAAAGTTTGAAACTAAATATTTGAAACTAAACATTTAGTTTGAAAAACCCAGCTTTTATTTTGCTATATATTTCCGCTAATAGTCGCAAGCTAATTTACATACTAGCTAAATGTTTAGCTTGGACCTAAATACTTATTTGCAAGCTAAGTATTTAGCCAGCAACCTCAGTGGTTCGTTGGCAAGTTCAGTACTTAGTTTCACAATTAAAAAAGTTCGTTTGAAAACTGAAAACCCTTGAACACTGAATTGTGAAAAAAATATTTAGTCTCTAAACTAAATATTTAGTTTGTGAACACATTTTTTAGTTTGGAACTCTGATATTTATAAATGTATGAATAATACATTTTCACCAAGAATAATAATGACTTGGTGAAAATATAACTTTGAAAAATGAACTCCCACGTTGTATTCTCTGTGACGGACTAAATAAACTTAAATTCGTCATTAATTTTTCTTTTTACTGTGTAACAGTAACATCAGATACCTACAATCCTGCTTTCAAATTCAGCTGGTGTCAATAACACCAGCTTTTTTTTTTTAATCAACTTGATCTGAAATGACAACAAATTTAGGGGAGAGCAGCATGTTGTTCTGTGATGTATAAGACCACAGAGGAGCAGTCACATCCAGGCCAAGTCATGATGGATGTGTGTGTTTTTGTAATCAGCGGAGGGAGGTGGCCAAGACGGTGTTCTGTCTGGTTCTGGTGTTCGCTCTGTGCTGGCTTCCTCTCCACCTCAGCCGCATCCTGAAGCTCACCATCTACGACGAGAAGGACCCAAACCGCTGCGAGCTGCTCAGGTACGGAACAGGGAAAACACACACACATTTACTCAGGCCACAGCTTGCCAAAGGAATTGCTACGAAACACTGAGGCGTGGCATCTGTTCTTTTTAACAGCTTCTTCTTGGTGCTGGACTACATCGGCATCAACATGGCTTCTGTCAACTCCTGCATTAACCCCATCGCCCTGTACATGGTCAGCAAGCGCTTCAAGAACTGCTTCAGGGTAAGACCAGCCTCTGTCACGCTAAATTCACATTTCACACTTTTCTGTGCATCCTTTTTGAGTTCTACTGCTTCCTTAAGAAAAAAACAACAACAAAAAAAACAATTTCCCAAGCACTTAAGAAAAACCCAGCCAGCTGCATTTGGCAATAAATTCATGTTTTTTGGTGTCCGGAGAACGACACGTCTCAAAAACCTGCAGAGACCTCCAGATGCTCCTGCACAGACAGACATGAGAGCATCAGTGAATTGCAAAAACGACACTGCGAAATCTACAGTCACAAATCAGCAGGCACTGCCTGTCACCTGGCAACACCAGCGAATCCTGGCCCATCACCTAGCAACCCAAACGGGTTTTCCCGCTGTACAATGGCTGCGTTCTTGTTGGTTGTGCAGGAGGCTCCACTTCTACTTTTCAAAGGAGCTCAAAACAGACAGAACTGACCGGACTAAACTGTCATTATCCAAGAAAAATGTAATAAACTTGTTCTGTGTCATCTACAGTTTTATTCTAAGCTGTTTAATGAAATGTTATAGTTCAACTTTGACAGACCAGCATATGCATTTTCACTGTCAATTTGATTCCAGTCAATTTGGTTTATTTACGTAGCTCTAATTCACCACATGTCATCTCAAGACACTTTTCGTAGAAGTAAATCCATTCATGCACACATTCCAACTGATCCTTGTTATGAAACATTGCAGCTAAGTTAAGTTTATTACTTTAAAAAAAAGGTTTCCCTCTCTCAGGATGCACAGCAGATTTTGTTTTCAGGTCGAGTCGCGTTAAAGTTTGTGGTTTTAACGTGACAAAATGTCAGCAAGTCAAAGGGCTGTTTGTGCATAAAATTGCTGAGAATGTGACAGTCTTTTCCTTTAAATTCACCCCCTTTCTCCGGTTCCAGTCCTGTCTGTGCTGCTGGTGCCTACCTGCCGAAATGCTGATGGACGAGAAGCAGTCGTGTATGAAGCTCAAAGTCACCGAGCGATCCTCCGACCAGAGCCACTCCCGCATCACCAACAAGTCCAGCACCGCGTGAGGAGAGAGGAAGGTGCAGCCGGAGGCGGGGGGACTAGGACCCAAAAAACAAAAAGACAAGAAAGCAAGAAAAACATATTTGATGTACGACCGGGTGAAAGAGGCCGAATTCTTTTCTCCTGGAAGATGTCATGCGAGCGCTCCAGATGCGCCTGCACAGAAACTCGCTCTTTTTTCCGGAGAGAGATGGGAGTGGAGCGTCAGCGAATTCCCAAAGCTCCACTGTTTCATAGTGGAGATGTGGTTCACTTTTTCTTTTTTTTTTTAAAGATGGAGCCAATGTTGGAAAGAAGAAGAAAAAAGAAAAAACGATAAAATTGAAGAGTGTTGCTCTGAAAAGGGTCAAAGGTCATCCCGCTGCAACAGCAAATCAAACCCGCAGTCTGGAAGGAGACTGTAACTTTGACCCAATGAATCTCATCATATGGACGGTTGTACGTCTGCTGCAGACGCTCTCGAACACGGCTCTATGGTGGCTCTGAGGCTGATGTTGTTCATGCGATGTGTATCCAGTTAAGTGAATGTATGTGTTAATCATCTTGCATGCTAAGCATACTTACCGCGAGGGGTGTGACGAGATCGCAGCAACGAGCTCTTGCAATATTGAAACGCCATCTGGTTGCTGTTTGTCTCTGACTGTGTCTGTTGAAGTAATTCTTCAGAGGACATTTAACCTGGCGCTTTGTTTCTCTTATTTTTTTGCATCCCTTATTTTGAAGTAAGGAAGGAAGTCGTTGTTGAGTTGTGTTGACAGAGTCAACCGTTTGAAGAGGCCTGTGCTACTTTTAAAGGTTTGACTTGTGTGATGTGAAAGTGTTTCTGTTGCAATTTTGTGAAATGCGCAAATTTTGGTTATCAAAAAACCTCATATTAGGACAAAACTCTTTTACCAAAAATGTGCTTTTTTAAAACTATAAAATAAAATAAGATTGGTGCGTTTTCATTCAGCAAATTCATTGTAATTCAAACTCACACAATTTTATGGCCAATGGAAACACAGGTACTAACACTCTTCGGTGTAGAGGCTATTAAAGAGTCATATTCTCAGAGTGGATATTTCTGCCTTAACGGAGACTCTATGACATATTCAAGAAACCTTTGCGGTATTGTTTTTGGCTTCAGCTTCCACCAAGCTTTGACATTGCACATTATGTGTAAACAAATCAAAACTCGACTGAATTGTTTCACAAATGTTTCCAGATTCTTTGCTACAGAAACTCCCCAAAGGTTGAACGGGTGGCTGGACTCCAGATGTGGACAATTACAGCGAAAGCGTCAATGCTTCAGAATCAAACGGGTCGGAGAAGGGCCGTTGAGCCTCTGGACCGAGCGCGGGTTCTTCGGTACTAAATATTACGCACATCTATAATTGCATGCATCTAGCACCGCTGAGATCTCTTCCCCTTTATTCTGTGTGTGAAATAAAAACTGGACTTTCTTAGTTTACTCAAAAATACATAGATTTACAAACTCTATAGATGGAGTTAGCTTGTAGCTTTACATCGCTACAAAAGATCTGTTCTTTTCTTGCTCGGTTTTTTTTTTTTAAACTGAAAGTATTGCTTGTTTTAACGACGGTCATGTTGGTTTGCATGCTGTGCCATGATTGAAAAATTTTCTGTCACTTTAAATTTTTTTTATCCACTTATCATTCTAAGTTTTGACGAAATGAGTTGTTCACAAATGGAGCCAGCTGATCAGCATCTCCGAAGCTGACACGTGACTCAGACTGCAACCAAAAATGCAAAAACCAAAAAGGTCTTTTTCAGAATATCGAGTCATTTTGAAATGGAAAAAAAATAAATAAATAAAAACGTCTCCTCTCGTTTGCCACTTTAGTGCTTTAGAGTTGTATTTTCTCTCTGAAACTACTGAAGTCATGTGTTTCTGTGCAGTGGCTTTAATTAATGGCTGGCCTCACTTTTTCTATAATCTTGTCTGACTCATCACCTTCGCTGGTATTGGTGACGTACACATTTTCTTCCAACACACAAAATAATAACAATAAAAATAATTTTAAAAAAGACGCTGTTATGAAAAAGAGACCCTGTGATTTAAAAAAAAATGTTTTATCAATATGTGATGAGATTTATGGTAATTATTGCTTCCGGCATGATCTATATGTGTCTGTTTTTGTGTTCTTCATGGATGCCAGTGTGTGTGCGTGTGAGTGTTATAAAGTTTGTTGGCTTGACTAAAATGTGACAGCAGGCGGCATCATGTGATGACGGACAGCAGCACAGAACATTACTGTGATCTTTCCTTTTTTTTTTTTTTTATCCAACTCTTCATCTGACACACACACGCAAACGTTCACACACACACCCTCACACTCGCAAAAAGAGCAAATTTTGACCTCCGAGCTAACCGGAGTCACGCATGTCACATTAGCTGTCATAGAAGCTCTTTGTCCGCCGATCTCTCACCACCCCTCATCTTATTTCTTCACTCTGCCTTCTTTTTTTTCTCTCTTTCTCTTTGCATTTCTGCTCCTCTCCCCGGAACCCATCTTTTTCTCTCTGTCTCTCTGCTGCTGCTCTTCCAACATGCCTTCAATCACTGAGCTGTGGTTCCATGTTAAATCAAACCCAACGGTGCTCTGAGCAGGTCTTAATTGAACAGAATCGCATTCAGAACATTCGTCTCTGAAATGTTTTTGGCTCCCAGTAGAGGCTGAAATAATATATTTGGCTCCGGTTGTTTCGGTTGGCTTTCGAAAGATTTGATGGATCGTCTGCGAGAAAACAGAAAAGCAGCGTGTGAAGTGTAAGTCGTCCAAAAGGACGTCTGCTTAGCGGCCTTTGAATTGGCATTCAGTGGGCTTGAGGTCTATTGGTAATTGGATATTTTTTTTATCAACATAACTAAATAAGAGTGGAAAGCTGTTTTTTAATCAATTTTTATGCAATTTTACCAACTAAATCCATTTAATTTCAGGATAATTTCAGTTCTCTGAAGGTCTACGAGGTTTTAGTGAACAAAAAGAACGAGACACACACCAAACAAAAGGTTTAATGTCCAGATTTATAAAAGCCATGTTTCCATGGTTTTACACATCTGATTTACTTTTTTCTGTGCCACAAGTTTCAGAGCTTTTAGCATGAAAGCGACAATCTTTCATGCACCAGAAGCATTCCCACTTTGAAACTCGGTGGTGGCAGGGTCATGCTACGGGAATAATTTTCTATGGCAGAGACGTGAATGGCGATGACTGGAGGTAGTTTGTCGCGGGCAGTAACACTGGCCCACAGCATGACACTACCACTACTGTGCTGGACACTTCACACAGTGTTTCAAAAGCTCAATTTTGCGCAAACAAAGCGAAAACAGCTACATTTTTGTCACGTCTGACAAAGTAAAAAAGCAATTCTGGAGGTCTTTTGGTTTTAATTTACTAGAATCATTTTACCAAGTAGGTTAAGTAAGCCCAAATGGAAGAAGCTAAAAAAATATTTTTCTTAGGAAACGTGATGATTTGCTCTCAGAGGCATCAGAACATGCTCAGTTTATTGTGAAGGATTTCTGTCTTTATTTGTCAGTAAGAACACCCCCGATGCAGCAGATGTATGAAGGCAATGTTTGTCAAAAATAAGCAAAACTTCAGGAGGAGTGGTGCTGAAGCGGTGCCGTTATCTTCTAGCATCCCTGTCCAAACCCTCGGTTGTTTACTGGACACTAAACTCTGAGGATTACTCAAAGCGTGACATTTGAGGTCTGTTCCCGCGGCTCGGCGGTCTGGGCCCAGGAAAACGGGCCTTATGTGAGAGGAACAGGGTGAACACCAGGGGTTTCCAAATCAGCCCTTTGCAGTTTGTTTCAAACCAAATCTTTCTGTGGGCACTCCATGTACTGGAGGGCGGCCAAAGACAAACTTTTATTCTCCATTAGCATCGCAAATTAGAAGATTCGAGCAACAAGCAAAATCGTGTCAGACAAAGGAAAATAACGGGACGTCTCTCATGCATGCCCGTATAAACTAACCAATATTTTCAATGTTTTTTTTCAAGATTGCCACTCTGTGTATAAAGGTTTGTTCCTATAAGTTCTTTTATTGTAATTGCAGATTTTATTTCTTTTTTGCTGTTTGGACTTTAAATCAGATCACAAGATTCTTATTACAGCACTGTTTTCAAATTTAACAATTCAATTTAAAAAGTACTTCAATGAAGTTTCTGAGGAAACTTCCTTACACTCTGATGTCTGCATGAAAGTCCACTTACTTTGGATGTTAAATTAATATCTTTTTTTATTTTGTTTAATAGAAAATGTAACACAGGATGTATTGAAAACACATTGACATATTTTTTTTTTTTAACTTGCATTTTCTCCTTTTTTAGAGCATTTGAGAGAGCGCTGAACATTTGTTCGGCATCTCCTTGCTACTCAGACAGCAATAGTGAGTTTTAATCATTAAATAAAACAGATATGAAAAGTATTTTAGGCATTTATTTAGATCTGGATACATCTGCATATTTATATTTTGGGAATAATGCCCTCGGACATGGTCGACAAAGACAATAAATACGTGATCAGAGTTTTGTTTCTGATTGCAAAGAAGAGTATATCATATTCTTGGTCAAGGCCACAACCTCCCAGTATCACACAGAGGAGAGATAGAATTAGAAAAGTCTAAATTATGGAAAAAAACAACATCAAGATGGAGACCTTTGAAACAAAGTGGAGACCTACAACTAAATTCATATTGTAACCTCTGTTTATTTATTTGCCTGTGTGCCTTTTGAATTTATTTTGCATTATCATTGTTATTATTATTGTTATTTTGTATTTTATTACTTTAGTCTGTATTTTGATTATGTCAACAATGGACTGTGAAAATAAGATGTTAAGTTGCAAAATGTGAGATGTGACAAGGGTGGGCATTTGGGTATGTTGGTGTAAAACAGTTATTGATCATAAAAAGTGGAAAAAAAATAAATGAAAAATTGTAAAAAGTAATTATAAAACTTGCATTTGGTCCAGTAATAATAACTTCGATTAATTCTGGATTTTCACTCATCTGTACAGGAGCCAAACCAACTAAAATCGTTTGTAGCAAACTGCACCTCAACCGCATTCTTCATAGCCTTCTTATTTACGCAGCAGACCCATGACGCTGCCACCACCATGTGTAACAGCTGCTGATCAGGTCATCTGGACACGTGTACATTTCAGTCGAGTTTGAAAAGCGTTGATTCTGGAGATGCGGGGGGGAGGGGGCTCCCTCTCCGTCTCTGCTGGTGACACTGGCGCATGCTGGGGCCGAAATGTAGCAACATCTCCATGTGTTTTTGTGTTTTTCTTTCCAGATTTACGTCAATTGAAAACTTTTAATACAGTCGGGGTTGGGCTGGGAAGAGGGGGAGCGGAGTGACTCATAACTTTTTTTTCACTAGAAAAAGAGCAGTAAATTTTGGATGAAAGGCAGACAGTCACACTCTGACTCTGAGGGGGGTAGTGGGTGTTTTTTTCCTCAAAGGATGTCAAAAGAACCATTGTAAACATGTCAATGAGGGGAACTTCACGGCAAAGAGGCAACGTTTTACCAAATAGTTTTGGTCTAATTCCTAGTGCAAACATATTTAGTAGACTTGAAATAGGACAAAACTAGTTTACAATATGTTGGAAAGCTTGTTTTGAGTGAACAAATCCTTAATGTTGATGAAAAGTGCTTGTTCCACTGGCAGATCATTAGATTTTTCACACGGAGAAAAACTCTTTTATTTGTCGATTATTTCACCTTTGGCAAGGTGAAAAAATAGATATTTTTTTATATGGATATTCAGGAACTATTTACTGAAAATGAGCTCTTACATTTAGCTGGAAAGCTACCTGTAAGTTTGTTTTATTTCAAAATGTTTACGCTACTAGCTATGTCAAAACTACTGGGTAAGGTTTTGTGTTTTTGCAGTGTATGACAATAACGTCCTCCAAACGTATCTATAAAATAACACATTTGGGTTGAGACTGTGGAGCTCCAGCTTTCTCACAATGCCTCAGCAGAATAAGAAGTATGTTACTAAAAAAGAAAAGAAAAAAAACACCAGATGCAGCAACAATTCTGCATCCAACACAAACATACCTGTGGTAAACAGCTCGTCCTCTCCTGTCCTCTTAAAGTTCAGGGTCTTAAATTTCAGGTTGGAAGTTTAAGTCGATCTGACTTTTTTTTTTTCTCCCCCCTCCCAAAACTTTCCTCTCAATACAATGTTGTGCATTTTTTTGGTGCTTGACAGCAGGCTGTACCAGCATCGAAAATAAAATTTGACATGACGGCAGCTGTTTTCCAAAAGTTCACTTTTAACAGTTCAAAGCCAACATTCACAAATGTCCTTTAAGTCACGTTTTAAGTCAAATCTGCATCTGATAAGCATGTCAGAATTGAAAGTGCAGGCGGAGTGCTGGATGTTTTGTGATTCCATCTGAGGTTTCAGCATATCTGTAGTGGATTGATAACAGAAGGAGGCGAGTTTTCGGTCTCTGCCACAGCATCTGCTAGCATTTGGAAAGAACAAAGGAAAGTATGCTTTTTTTTTTTAATAGAGTGAACGTGTGTGCTGCTTTGTGTTAGAGGGAAATAACGTCAAGGAAAGAACACACCGGTGATTTTAACACTTCAAGAAATGCCGGACAGACGACACACACACACAAATGCAGCTCATTCCCCCACAGATGCACCAGTGTTGCACTTTTTCAGCGCGTGCATCGAAAACACACACTCTTTCGCGCGCGTGCGTGCGTCAGCACGCGGCGAGCAGGAGGAATTCATCAGCTTGACGAAGCATCGACTCTAGAGTATTTCTGCCGTCTATCTCCTCCCTCCCATCTCCTCCCCGTCAGGGGGACGGTGAATTTCGCGTCTCGGTCCCTTCCTGTTAGCGCACGCGGCCTTTTACTGCTCGTCCGAGCGATAAGACGACAACCCCGCCAGGACAGGACGACAAGATAAAGGGTCACTTCGAGGCCAGGAGTGCACTTATGGAGAGCGGCGGTGGAGAAAGAACTTAGAAAATGTACTTAAGTGAAAGT